CTTACCCGTACGACCCCTCCGTGGCCCAGAAAAAATAATTTAATATCGTGTGGTCCGATGGACCACGGATCAGATATTAAACTGATCAGAACAGATACAGTGCACTTGATCTTAGCCAAAAGGCCGAGAAAGGTATTGAAACACAATTTTTTATTTTTTATTTTTATTTTTTTTATTTTTTTTAATCTCTTTATTCAATCGCCTAAGAAACACAATTTTCAATTGTTTAGTATTATTATTTCCTTAAAAAAAATTAAAAAAATGTTTAGTATCTCACGGACCCCCACCAGGCTAGCCCCCTAGGTAGCCCCAGAGATTCTCCCCGCGCCACCCCTTTCCATCTCTCTGTCCGCATAATCACACTGGGACTTCTTCGACTGACCTCTGGACGTGATTGCAGTCAGATGCGTCCAGTTCTGGCCATAATCACCCTCAGACACATTTCTGAGAGTAATACCTTTTTTTTTTTTTTTCAGCCGGTAGCCTCAGGACCGAGAGCTTCTTCGATCAGCCAGTCTTGCTGTGCCTCCCCTCCGGTCCCCTCCCCCCCATGACATCAGCAGTCTCTGCGCAATGCCACTCGGGGCTACCGAGGGCCTATATCTAGGTGGCGGGGCGCCAAGCTTGCCCAGGAAGGTACATGAGGCCAGAGGGGATTGAACCCAAAACCGCTTCAGTGCCACTGGCGTGCCTTACCAACTGAGCTAGGCCGCTGGGTAGTTATACTGTGAGGATATTCTTTTTTTTTTTTTTTTTTTTGGAAAACACACTCTGCCCGTTTCCCGACTGTGAGAGAGTGTGTCGTCGGAGTTTCACAAGCTCAAACATATATATGTATGTATATAAATATTCTAGTTATATCATTTTTAATATGCATGTGCTTGATTGCGAAGTCATGGGACGAGTTCTGATGTTGATTCCACGTATGTATATATATATTGCCAAACAGAGCTGCCCGGTAAACCGTAGCAGAGAGGGAGAAGGGAGAAGAGGACAATAAACGAGGGAGGGGCTGTGGCAAACTGTTTCGTCGGAGTTTCACCGACTCATCAGGAGGCTGATAGATATATATATATATATATATCGTCACAAACAGAACTGCCCGGTAAACCGTAGGCAGAGAGAGAGAAGAGGACATATATATATATATATATATCGTCAAATAGTCAAACAGAGTTACTGTATATATATATATATATATATGCACATATATGTATGTATATATACACATATATATACATATACATATATGATATATCATTGTACATTTGCAGACTGTACAGGCGGGTTCAGCCTTCTCACGAGTCAATCGCTGAAACTTGATGTAAGTACAGAGAGAGAGAGAGAGAGAGAGAGAGAGAGAGAGAGAGAGAGAGAGAGAGAGAGAGAGAGAGAGAGAGAGAGAGAGAGAGAGAGAGTAAAAGATATAGATATGTAGATAAATATGTCGACTGTTAGCAGTCCTGATTGGAGCTGAGCGAAATGGAAGACGTCCACAGACCCCCGACGCAAAGGGGAGAAGGGAGAAGTGCGAAGGAGAAGGGAATAGTAGTAGATTGCCCCCACGTCATATCAAATTTATATAAATATGTGACAATGCAGAGTAAGGGCGCACTGACAGTAGGTCTACCGGAAACGTATCTGACCGTATTTACGGGCCGATCTGGATGCATCTGACCACAATTACATCCATAAGTAAGTAAACGAGACCTAGTGTGAGTATGCCGACGGAAAAAAGAAGGTAAAAAGAAGAGTAAGCATAGAAGCCAGGAACATGTCTAGGTACAGTTCTGGATTGGTTCGTTTGCTCCCAGTACGGCTTTTACGGAGGGAGATGAGATGAGATGAGTTTTGTTTTCTTTATTTCTTTCTTTCTTTGATCCCAGGACTCCCTTGGATGTACTGACATTTGCCCTGGACCATGCAGAGGGCGGGGAAGGTGGGTGCAGAAGGAGGGGAAGGTTGGTGCAGGCAGGGGTCATGTTCTTGGAAGTACTGGTCGTAGTGTCTCTCTCTTTTTCACATATAGTAATAAGTATGTGATTCTCAAAATAAAAAAAAGGGAGGAAAAGAACAACAAAAAACTTGACAAAAGGAAAGCAGTATTTTCTTCCCTCATTTAACTCCCTCTCCTTCCCTCTCCCCCCCC